CCCCCGCCCCCTTTATTGTAAAAAGTGCTACCAAGTGTTGCGATACAAGTGTAATTTAGTTGATAACACTCGATCTCGTCATCTGCCAGAACAGCTGCCTGGTTCTTCCTTGTCCCATGCCCTCTCTGAGAGAACCTGTTCCCCAACTTCATCTTTTGGGATATCTTTTTTCTAGCTGTATTTTTCATCCGTAGCATGTCTCCTGACTGAGCATTCTGACTCGCTGTCTGCTATTAGACATTTTCTAGCATGGCAAAAAGACGTTTCATGTAAAATTTGTGTGGAGATACAAATTTGCACTTTTCTCTTCCAAATGTGTTGGCGTGATAACGTTGCCTGAGCACAGCTGAAAACTCCTAGTGCTCGCTGGGTGGATGAACGCTTCTGAGGCTAAAACCATGGGCTGGCTAAAGGGGAATGTAGCTAGCTGAGAGGACTTCAAACTTGGTAACAGCACTCATTTTAGTATGTATTTTAATAGATGTCTTTCTGGCAATGTTAGGTTAGTTTGTTAACTGTCATGATAGACAGACAGCATCTGCGTTGCTCCAGCCAAAGCCAGAAGTGTTACTATTTTTTGCTTGATGTTTTTTAGCTGGCAATTTTAGTGGAGTCCTAAGTAACTTGTGTCGGAAAAACATTTGTGAAGTGTGTATTTTCAAATGTCAGAGGCTTTTGAGGAGTAGATAGTGCTATTTCTATTGGAATTGGAAGGGTTACTTAGGGCAGAGGTTGGGCAGCTCCTTTGCTCTGCTGTTACGGTATTGCAGCCTTAGTCCCTAATGCTGGGGGGCTTGCGTCTCCTTTCCCTCCCTTTAGGAGTAGGTGATTTCAGTAAGCTAATCCAGTACTCCCTTACAATGGAAATTTGGCAACTGTTGTTTGAGTTTCTTTACAGAAGTCCTTTATATACTGAATGTGATACCTGCACAGAAGTAAGCTAACTAGTTGTCCCCAAAATGGTAATCAGTAGAAACAGGAATGAAAATTGTATGGCTCTTCACTGCAGGGGGGGGCAGAGGGATTGGTGGAAAAGCTTTGCTGACCTGCTTTAAATCTTTTTTCATGCTTTAGAATAATAATGTATTAAATGTTGATTCAGACTTTCCAATTAAAGTAATGGTGTAGAATCGATATAGTTATAATGACCAGCTGAATATTGTTCCCGTATTCTGATGATCAGTGGAAAGTTTTCATCCGGTGGATGAGGGGAAACTTAGTCATCAATTTCTGTGCAACTGAGGCTTCTCTTCAGAAAGAAAAATGTTTAGGTAGAGGGTTTCCTGCAGGGCCAATCAGTTTCAGTGCGGGTGTGCAGCCTCTGACTCCGAACACCCCCAAACTGCAGCTGGGGAAAGGGCTCATGGTGCAAAACTCTGGCTGATGGCTGCTGATTATCTGAGGGACAGAGCGTGCGGTAGAGACCCTTCCCTTTAGCCTGATTTTCTGTGCCCTTAGGTAGGCTCTTACTGTTCCCAGCCCAGGGGTGAATCGGTGCTGGAATGCCAGCTTTATCAGGCATCTGCTGTTCCAAAAGATAAAGCCCCCTAAATAGCATCCCAGGAGAGGGCTGTGGTGGGAATCCCAGCAGCCAGGTTCGGCCAGACATTTCAGTCGCCCAGAATTTTGCATTTGTGCACCTTCCAGATTTTGTTTGCTTTCAGCTTCTGGTTTTTACGTTTAGACTGCTGGCTAGTATTTTTTTTTCAAGTGTTTAATTCTAGCGTTTAAATAAACTGCAATATGCTGTAAGGCTTTCTCCCCATGTGTGCCTGCATGAATCTGTTTGTAACTAGTGTGTTCTTAAGTCAGAAGCAACGCTAGCCGTATTTTCCCTGCTTTTCACTAAATGAACCTCAAGTAGTTTCTTAGATGTTTTCAGTAACAGGATAGGTGCTTTGAAGTTCTCGGAGAGAATTATTACCGAATCCTCTTTAGTTCTCTGACGCTGGAGGTAGGTGACCCTGCTTACGCTAAAGATAGATTCCCTGGGCTGCCGGCTGCCTGGCTGGAGCGGCTCAGCTTTGAGCAGATGGCCATAAATGGCCAGAGCGGCTGGAGGGAGCCGGCGTACCTTAGGGAGAGCGTGGATGATGTACAACAGGTGTTTCTGCAGTCGCCGCTTTTAAAAACCTTTGCAAGGGTGAGGAATACAGAGTTGGCTGTGAATAGGGCTGTAGATTTAATTGATAAGTTTTGGGGTTTGGTTTTTTTTGGTTTGTTTTTTTTTTTTACACTATTGTTGCTGTGTTCAGGTTGCTGTGATCTGCGCTTTATCAAACTGAAATGTGTTCTCTTGAAGTTACTTTAAATTATACTTATTTACTTAGTTTTCATAAACTTTCAGAACTTGAAAAAAGATCTATTTTTACCTTCTCCCCTTAGCTTTTGCTTAACCCCCACCCCGGTTTGTAATGCTTTGTGTTTTGTTTTTTAACAACCAAGCCTGCTAAACCCAACTCATAGGTCTTTTTAATGTCAGAAAACAAAGCTAGATATATCTGTTTTGCAAACTAATCTTGCAGGTTTTATTTTTTATATATATATATATATATATGTATATCTATGTATTTTTTTATCCAAATAGACTGAAAAGCTGAAGAGAGGTGGCCTTTAGATTTTGATGGGATAATAGTTGGATTGAGTACTATTTCCCTGCTCTGCTGTGTTAGTTTATAACCATCCTCATTACAGTCTGGTTAGTTCAGTTAACTTGAAGGCAGAAGACAAATCCCAGAAGTCTGCTGCTGTAAGTTCTTGAACACCTCATAGCAATGAGGAGCTTGGTTGTGAACCATAAATCTAATCCCAAGAAGTGACAGTGTTGGTTCTGCTTGTCTTGTGTCTTCCCTAAACATTTCTGTTGACGGGAAGGTGTAAAAGGTGTGAAGACACCTGACGATTTTGGGATTTTCATGTTTAAGATTGAGTAGTGCAGTTGTACGGTGATGCACGTGGAATTTTATAAGTAATCTGTTCTAATTTTTTTTTTTTTTACACTTCTACAGTGGAAGCATCGGTTCATGGAAGTAATGTGCACTGCACGGATAAGACAATCGAAGCTGCAGAGGCCTTGCTTCATATGGAGTCTCCTACCTGCCTGAGAGATGCCAGGAGTCCTGGTATGTCAGCCACAGTTTCTGCTCCGTGAACTGTTTCTCCTTCCACTAATTAGTAAAACAAGCAAATTCAGAAACCTGCTTCTGTGGAGAACCGTATGCTGTTTAAAACATTTTGCTTGCTTATTTCAAAACTACCGATTTGTTTGAGTTTTTACGTGATTTCTCCACCCTGTAACAAACATCCCTATAGATTAATAATTTATCTGAGAGAGATTGTTGGGTAAAGGTCCTTGAGTAGCTTCAAATTGAAAATGATCTTTTCTGTCTGAACATCAGAAAATACTTTTTCACTGTGTAGTTGACCGAGCACTGGCAGAGGTTGCCCAGAGAAGCTGTGGAGTCTCCATCTTGGAGATACTCAAAAGCTGTCTGGACATGGTCCAGGGGCGGCTGGCTCTAGGTGGCCCTGCTTGAGCAGGGGGTTGGACCAGGTGCCCTCCAGAGGTCACTTCTAACCTCAGCTATTCTGTGGTTCTGTGAATGTGGCATTTTAAATTGCTAAATGAAGAGTTATTTTAAGGAAAAAGTATTTTTTTATCAGTTTAAAAAAACCCAAGACTTGATGTTTATTTTAGCTTGATGTTCCTTCTGAAGTTACTTAATATATGTTGGGTGAAATAATGGTCAAGTTGAGACCCCAAAGCTACAAAATAGGAAATGGAGATTGGAATAGGGATCAAAGTTTAAGCTCTGATTTGTTTGTTTTGCAGTTGACTTTAGTTCTAAAGAATATTGGTGTGATACTTGTCTCACGCCTAACAATACTGCCAAACGTGCATGTTTGGGGGAATTGGATCCATTTTCTAGGTGACAGGTTGGAGTAGAATCTTGCTATACAATTGCCTATGCTTTGTTTAAAATAATGTCATGTAAGATACATTAAAAGAATCGGGTAGAAACTTCATAAGATACACTTTTTTTTCCCCCCTCCCTCATAGTGGAAGTTTTTGTCCCTCCTTGTGTGTCAACCCCAGAATTTATCCATGCGGCCATGAGACCTGATGTGATCACAGAAACTGTGGTGGAGGTATCCACGGAGGAATCTGAACCAATGGATGCATCTCCTGTTCCAACTTCCCCTGATATCCATGAACCAATGAAAAAGAAAAAAGGTATGTATGGCTCTTTCTGGGAGCAATCTCAGAACTTATTTCTGATGTGCACTGCCGCAGATGGTGCAGTTGATACGGGTGGAGATAGGTTAGATTATCTGAGTTCTCTGCTCATATAATCAGATTGATTGGAGTCTGAAATGTGAGTTCTTAGAAAATGAATCTGAAAAAAGAAAAAAGTAGCAAGAGAATGGGCTCCGCCAAGCCATAAAGGAAAATGGTATCTTTGTTGTTGTGGTTTTTAAGCACAGTTTACAAAGTGGAGGAAGAGTAGATTAGGATTCAAAGAGGACTTGCGTGGGTAACCGTTGGTGGCTGAAATATGGATATATTTGGAGAGCAGGTAGACTCGGCGTTCTTCCAATGAAACAACAGGGTAAATACTAACTTAAAAAAACCCCATGAATCAGTTTATAAAATCAGTACAAGATCTTCCTTGTGAGAGAAGTATCTTACTTCTCCAATCAGTGTGTCTTGGAGGACAAGCTATTCAGAACAGTGTTTGAGTTCTGAGCATTCAGCTACCAAATGAGAGGCTGGCACCTGGTGAGGTTTCTTTCTGCTCTAGCAGTTTTCTTACAGGCATCAGTACAATTCACGTAACTGTAGGAATACTGTTTTATTAGCGCTTCCAGACATGCTAAGATGGAATATTTACTTGTAATTTAGAGGAAAAAAAAATGCAATATAGTGATAAAGTGATACAAATCTAAGATCTATGAGTTTTAGATTTAATAAAAACACACACACACACCAGATAACTGTAACTCTACTGTAAATTACATAAGCAAGAAAATTATGATAAAAGCTTTTCCGTAGCTGTATTCATACACTGGATTTAAACTATTTCTTTATATTCCACTCTCTGTTTGAATGGTCATTACTGGGCAGATTGTGTTACAGGGCTGTGCTCAGGAAGTTCTGAAATTTTATGAAGGTTATTTTGTAAATATTTTTTTTCCTATTGCAGAGTCCGAATCCGTGCTCTTAAGTGTGTAAGGTCATTCAGCCATAGTTACAGAGCCGTAACTTTGGTCTTCATAACTAATGCCTTTTGAAATTCAGCGTTTAATGAAGAACGTTGTTCATTCAGCAAAAATTAATGCTCTTGTGCCCGAGGTAGGAGAGTTAATGGTTGCTACTTGCCTCTTAACTGAAGGCAGAAGCACGGACTGTTGACAGCCTGCTGCCGTGGGGTATGATCCTCTTCCCTGCTTGGGCCTGTTCACCTTGAGTAAAAAGGTCACTGAAGTGTGAAAGGATGAAGAAGCCGCAGGTCTTGCTGGGAGAGGATTTCCCTGGCACAGGAACGTAGGCAGCTCTAAGCCTGCTGCCGGCTGAGGAGTCCCCTCCTAAGCCTCCTGCATCGCTGAGGCCGCGGCTCCCGTTTGTAGCCGGCTTAATGCTGTGCTGTATGTCAGTTCCGTGCAGCACCGCGCGCACGCTTTTATATATAGCTTTTAACAGACAGGTGCATGGTGGAAATGAACGTTTACGATTTCAGAAATCAGTTTATGATTTACAGTTTCTTAGGAAAACTGATGCTTCAATCAACACCCATGCTAGAATACCAAAAACAAAGCAGAAGAAGAAATAATACATTTCAGAGTAAAGCAGACACTGGACTAAAAGAATGCAAACAAATTGAAGTTTTACTGTATACATTTGTTGCTTAGGTCATCTGCCATTAACTTGTCTGAAATTGAGTTAAATCTGTCTGTGAAATAAGCCATCAAATGATGAATTAAACTGGATGTGCCGTAGTCGTAATCTAAGAATTTAAGTTTATCCATACCTGTAGCAAGAAAATGGCAGGGGAAAAAATGCACGAAACTTTAAAATACTTTCATTCTTCATATCAGTTAATACTTTTTCCCCCTGTGTTTTTTGTGCAGCTGGCCGTAAACCGAAGACCCAACAATCGGCTATATCTGATGGGTCTCCAGATCTAGGTATAAAGAAGAAACCTAGAGAAGGCAAAGGTATATTTTTCCATTTATTGAGTCTTTAAAATTAGGCAGTGTATACGTATTGTATCTGTCACAGGAAATACACAGACCTTTAAAAGTTTGCTGGACGGGTTTGTACTGACTTCATTAGAGTTTTAATTTTATTCAGTGTCTTGAAATTTGTTTGTACAAGATCTAGCACAAGGATGTGTGGAACTGCTCTAAAGTCCCCTGTAATACACTCTGCAGTTAATGGGCTTTCTGATTTTTCATTTGCTTTGCTTTGTGTTTATTGACTCGTGCTGCCTTTCGTGTTGTGTGTTAGCTTACTGCTAGAAAAGGCTTGTTCTCAAGTAGAAGCAGCTTATGGGCATTTGTAATGGTGATGGTTGAAAATACGTTTTCTTCGTTGATTCACAAACTTCACTGCAAATACGTTGCTTGACTGATAGATTTGGTTTGGCTTAAGGGGAAAAACCAAATGATGATACGTTTCTTTACTGGCTGCATGAGGGATTTTGTGGAGGAGAGTCGTACTCCCCTGGTGTTTCTCCTGATAAATAGCGGGTCCTTTGAGCCCCTGCTCTTCACCCAGCAGGGAGACAGACTAGGGCATTTGCTCACAGGTTACCTTTGAGTTGGCTCTTCCCCTGGTTATAGGTGAAAAGCGTGTCTCTCTTCCCCACTTACTGCACTGAAAGTTGTTTGGAGGTGTTGCTGTAACTAAGAGAAACAAAGTTCAGTGACTTTCAGTGGCAGCATACTAGCTGAAAGAGTCTGCGGTCGTTGGCTCCGCTGTTATTTTGGGATTTGTTTGAAAGCTGTTTGCATAATTCCTTATCTGGGTACAGCTCCTCAGTCGTCACATTCGTCAGTAGGGCAAGGAAGAATGGGACGTTGTGCAGATGTTAGCTCATGAAAACCAGCGCAAATGGTAATTAAACTTCCCTGCAGTGGCCACTGTTGCTGTATTCGGATTTAGGTGTAGCAGTGGACCTCAGTGAAGGTCATAGATTTTGCATCTGCTGTACTTAAAAGTACATCTTATTTTAATTTCCTTCGTTTCTGAATATTCTTAAAGCCTTCTTAGCTTTCTTTCTAATTCGGAGTTCACTACTACAGCTTTCCATTATCTGAATAGTACTCGTAAAGTGTCCTACACAAATAACTGAGGAAGGAGGCCTGTATTTCTGTCTCTTCTAGTTTTTGTCTGTACTGGTGATTTCACTTTATAGCTTTTGGTTCATGAAGTGGGACATGGTACTGCTTTGGATTTTTATTTTTTTTTTCATTTCTGTGGACCCTCATAATGATCTACTTATGCCTCTCATTCTCACAAGATATCTCATTCCATATTTTACGCTAAAACTGGCATAAAATACGTATTTTTTTCTTGATGTCCTGTGAAATATTTTGTTACTGGATTTGTTTTTTGTTATTTATTTTAAAAAATTATTACAAATATAGGCTATTTTACATGCAGCGTGTTTTTGGAAAACCAGGAATTATTCCTAGATCTCAGTACTGTCGGCAGAGTTAAGTCATGGAGGAGGAGGACAGCTGGTTGTGCACATTTGGAAAGGGGATCGCTTGTTGTCCATGTAGGTAATCCTTCCTTTGTGCGTTCCTCTTGCTTTCTGGTGCAAAGTGAAGCAGCTGTAAATCTGATTTAATTGTGCCCTCCAGTTTGTTATACAGGAGGAGCTGGAGGCTTCTTAATATTTTTTTCTTAAAGTTGAGATGGTGGTGGGTTTTTGTCCTCACATAGTGGATTGGCAGTTTAGGCGTGGTTTCTCTTTCCGTATTTTGGTTTTTGTTTGCATAAATACTCTTTAAAGTGGAATTGGAGTGAGCAAAAGTGGCTTTGAGCCTTGCCACATAGATGCTGGGACCAATGCGACAGTTCATTGATACACACAACGCCGTGCATCACTCACATACTTTATGGCCATTAATCCTTCTATTTTGAGGTGACAGCTAACATTCTTAAGTAGTTGGCAGCTGTAATAATCGACTAGCCACAAAAATTTCTTTCACTGTGCAAAATCTACTCTGTATTGAAGTTAAGGTAAGTAATAATAATCATGTCTAGCTCAGTGCCTGCTTACAGTGCTGGTTAGTGCGAGACCTTTCAGGGGTGGAGATGAGAGCTGTATGATATTAAACAAGGCTTCTGTTTTCCTAGCAAGGTGCAGGACGTGTTTGTCTGCCAGGCTGGACTTAACGGATGCTTAAGAGTGGCACGAATGTAAACCTGTTCAGGTAACAGGTTTTATAGCCATGTCTTTTTCTTCCTCATGAGTCTGTAAGCTTGGATTAGTATTAGGCAAGTCTGGTTCTAAGCAGAAAGGGTTTAAAATTGGTGCAAAATTGTATTAAACATTTCTAAAATAAGCTTTTTGCATTAAATGCATAGCAGCTGTAGCTGACACAGCAGCTCACCTGGAGTATCTCTGGGTCTTATTGGTGATAGTAGATGGCTTCTGAGTAGTACAGGTATTGCATAGACCTCTAGTGGGAAAAAAAAGTTGTTATTTAGGTCAATATAGAGTATGAGGGGAAAATAAGGAAACTGCTGAGTAGCAGTACTATTCCTGCAGAAAAATTAGGCGCTTTCAGGAATGATTTCTCTTGAAGTTCCTGTTTACTTCCTAATACTGAAGCCCACTTACATTTTTGCAAAGAATCTGTTGCAGACCTAAGTATTTGGTGGTGGACCCAGAAGTTCTATTTCTGAGGAGATAAGGAAAAAAAAAAGGGATTAACTCCCTAAAATCTAGGATGATACCAGGATTCCTGAGTTCTCTTGTTGACTCTTTCCTCATGTAGGTCCTGTTCAAATGTCTCTGAAATCCAGCGGAAGCTGAATCTTGGTAGCTCTTGAGTCAGTACTTGCTGTTTATTTGAGCACGTGGTAAAATACATGTATTCTCTCTCTCTATGAGGTGGTCTTCCAGAAGATGGAAACTATAATTTTTTCTACCCTTTGAGGTTTTTCAAAGATGGCTAACTTCTTAGAGTCTGCAACAGTGGTCTTTAACCTGCCTTAGTGTATTTTAATTATGGCATAACAAGCACCATGCTGTGCCACTAAATCTCAGGAAATAATGACCTTTTTTCACACACAAAAAAAATTCAGTATATTTTTATTTGGCCCATGTCACCCCCTGGAAGTGTGATCAAGTGAAGAATTGCGATTAACATTCTGTGGTTATTATTCTTGTAGCTCTGTCTTAGTTCTTTCTTCTCAGATAACTTGAGGAATCTTCTCCAGCTGTACAAATTGGAATGTGGTCTGGTTTTTTTTCTTCTGCTTCCCTTCCCCTTTTCCTGGGTGTGACTGGTATAGTCAGAGTGCAGACATGTTATGTTTTATGCCATCCTGACAGTCGCTGTCATAAACCCCGTCTTGGGGCTCCTGTAGTGAAAATGGTAAATCTCTTGAGTACCTGAGAAGTGCATTAGATTCTTCTTCTGTAGGCTGACTTCATTCTATATACCCCTAATTGCAGAAAGGTACATGGGATTCCTGCCGTATGAATCCTTGTAGCAAGAGGTTGGACTGGCTTTGCACCTAGAAGGACATTGGGTCACTCTGCAACGTATATTTGGGAAGGGTCAAAACATGGGGCTGTCGCCAGTCAGTGTGAGCGCCCCAGATCCTGGACAAGGAGGTTACATTGCAAACTTAGCACAGTTGAGATGGTTTGTTATTGAAGGTTGTATGCCTTTTAAAAATGACTCAATTACATTCTCCTGTCCTTCAGTGTCGTAAAATGCACTGGCATTTCCATTCTCTGTTTTAAGCAAATATGAGAAGAAAATTCTGAGCTCTCGTCCTGCCTCTGCTGAACAGATGTAGGTTGTAGTGACTTGGAACGCCCTCCCACACTTCTTTTCAAGAACTGAGAATGGGCGCTGGATTGAACGGGCTCCTGTGCTATAGAGCAGGTCACTTGGATTAGCTCCTTTCAGAATGTAAATATTTATGGAAGCTTTACTAAACCTGACAGAATGAATGAATGTGTGCAGGTTACATCACATACCATCCACTGTGTAACATTTGCTTGTAATGCAGGTCATTCAGAGTTACCTATATATGGAGAATCTTCTGTTATCTTTAGAAGTGGGTTTCTAATATTTAAATGCTTTCTGATTATAGGAAATACAACGTACTTATGGGAGTTTCTTCTGGACCTTCTCCAGGACAAAAATACTTGTCCTCGATATATTAAATGGACTCAGCGAGAGAAGGGAATCTTTAAACTTGTGGACTCGAAAGCTGTCTCCAAACTATGGGGAAAACACAAAAACAAACCTGACATGAACTATGAGACTATGGGAAGAGCTCTGAGGTAAAAACTCTTACATCCTTAAGTTATCTACTGTAGTTTTAAATCAGATTCTTAATTTTGCCTATAGAAATATAACAGTTCCGAAATTTTAAAAGCTTTGCCCTCTTGCTCACTTAGCTGTTTAAAAAGCATCAGAGTCTTGCAGTTCCTGTTGCTTTTTATGTTACCAGTTAATTTGCAATTTAATTCCTGAAGTATGTATTTAAAAGGTCAGATTGTTTTTCAGCTAGATCCTTCAGATACTTTGCCAGTATGCTCTGCCAGCTTCTTTCCGTACCTCCTCCCATTGTAGGTTTTACTGTGGTTACTTCAGATTTTCTTGTTAGCATAGAAGGAGGTTTTCCTTAAAATCTGTCACTATGTTGGTTACAACGTAGTTGTACTTTTCTTGCAGATACTACTATCAAAGAGGAATCCTTGCAAAAGTTGAGGGACAGAGGCTTGTATATCAGTTTAAGGAGATGCCAAAAAACATAGTTGTCATAGATGATAAGAGTGTCTTTTTCTGCAGAAAACCTTTTAAAAGCAGCAACCTCTGCGCGCGGAGGAAAAAATTCCTCTCCGTTAAGCTGTACCAGAACAGAAAAAGCAGTCACCAGAGTTGTGAATATTGCCTCACCAGCACACGATACATCGTCATCTCGTCCCTCAACTACCACTACTACTGTCCCAGCAACGACAGCTCCCAGGTTTGTATTAATGTGGTTCTGGCTTGTCATTAGCAAATGACAAGCTGTTTTTTGGTTAGGAAGCTATCTTTCAGTTTTTCGTTTTATATTTTAAATGTTGGAAATTGTTTCTGCCTTGCAAGCAGCAGTGTAACATGATAGAATACTGTGAAAGTTCAGTTTATGAGATCAGAGCCAACTGTCAATATGCTTGCCCTCAGGTGTATTTTACAATTATGTAGAGAGAGGGAGGGGAAAAAAAGATACAAGAATGCTGCTAAATTTCTAAAGCCCTGTTGCTAGATGTACAAACGGTTTGGGGTTTTTTTGTTTTGTTTTTTTTTTTAAGAACCAATTAAAAATCTGTAAATCCTAGATTTGTCTGTCCCCGTTGTTACCTCTAATGGTGCCCTGTGTTTTGGCTTAAACACGCACATCTTTCTTATTTTGCAGGACTGTACGTGTGGCAATGCAAGTGCCTGTTGTAATGACTTCTCTGGGACAGAAAATTTCAACTGTGGCAGTACAGTCAGTAAACGCAGGCTCACCGTTAATAACCAACACAAGTCCAACAACAGCAACAACTCCAAAGGTAGTAATCCAGACAATCCCTACTGTGATGCCAACCTCTGCGGAAAACGGAGACAAAATCACAATGCAGCCTGCCAAAATCATTACGATCCCTGCCACGCAACTTACACAGTGTCAGTTACAAACAAAAACGGGCCTGTCTGGGTCAGGAAGTATTAACATCGTGGGAACCCCGTTGGCTGTTAGAGCACTAACCCCAGTGTCTATAGCTCATGGGACACCAGTAATGAGACTATCGGTGCCTGCTCAGCAGGCGTCTGGCCAGACTCCTCCCAGGGTGATCAGTGCAGTTATAAAAAGTCCAGAAGTTAAATCAGACACAGCGGCTTTAAAACAGGAGCGTGAAGTGAAAACACTGCAGCTGGTAAAAGAAGAGAAGCCGGCAGATGGAAGCAAGACTGTGACCCACGTAGTAGTAGTAAGCACGCCCTCAGCTATTGCCCTTCCTGTAACAGTGAAAACAGAAGGAATCCTAAAGTGCGAGAAATGAAGAATAGGTTTGCTTCCAGCATGGACTTGTAGACTGTTACGGTTTTGAATATACTGACATAATGGGGGGCGGGAAGTGGATGCGATCCCCAAGTCGAAAAGGAGAGTTTTGAAATGTTTAATAAACATGCGTATGTTGAAGACTTACTGGAAAAAAAATTATTTTCCCGTGTTTCAGTGGGAATTGAACCACATTGATATGCTGACAAAAACTGCCTCTTCCAGTTGGGAAACAGCTGAACCTATGGAGAAGGAAAGATACAGGGACTGAAAAGGGACCAAACAGTTCACTACGTTACCCGTTACCACGTTACACTAAGACCTGGAACACTAAAAGAGAGTTGTGTGAGAGGTTTGCCTTGGTTTTTAGTTTTCAGGGGGAGAGGAAAGTCTCGCTGTTACAAATGGCAAATTTTGATGCATTTTATATGCATACCAGCAATTATTACTGTGTGTCCACAGTACTCAACTGGTGCTATGTGAAAAACTCTGCTCCTAGGTATTGTAGAATGTGAAATAAAGGAGAAGATTAAAGAGCTTCTAAAAGAAGACAGAGACCTAGAGGGATTTTTGTATCATACAGCTTAAGCAGATTCAAAATGAAAGCCTTAGACTGATTTTCAGTTACCTTTCTTGAAATAAGCTAATGGCTTGTTTGTGTAAAGCTTTTTTATTAAAACAAATTTTTTAAAAATCTTGTACCTAGCACAGTATTGTTATAGAATTACATGTAACATATTTTGTATGGTAGTTAAAAAAGTCTGTCTAAATTTCTTAATTGTGGACAAAATAGCAGCAGGCTTTCCGCCTTCTGCTGTAACATGCCTGTGTCTCTCACTTAGCCTTGACATCCGTGCATACATTTCAGTTTCAGCTCTACTCTTGTCACTTGAAAGGTCACGCCCAGCATGAGCTTTTGTCAGGTAGTTCTAAACCTGTAAATTTTTTTTTTAGTTGAAGTTAAGAGGGAAGTACCAGTGTTCAGAATGAACTATAATAGTTTGTATATTCAACATTTGAAGTATATTCTATTTTGTTGTACTCTTGTTTCAAAGTGTATTCAAGTAGGTTTTACTGAAATATAGAAAAGAAATTTAATGGTGTTTGGTCTGCTTTTTATTTTTTATTTTTTCATTTCAACCTGTTAACCTTCTTTTTTGCTTATTTGAAATCTTCCAGGCATTCAGCCTAAGGTAGCTGATACAGTGTGGAAGTTTGGAACTCCTCACTACTCTGGTACTCCGAACGGCTGACCAACCCTCCCACACAGTATACTGAAATACTTTTCACTGAAGTTTCTGAGAAGCTTGCGGTAGTTGGTGAGGTAACTTCTGACGGGGGTCTAGTTCTGTTAGTCTGTGTCACGCTTTTTCAGGGCGGTGAGCATACGCAGTTTTCTTGCAGTGTGGCTAATCACATGAATACTTATGGAATAACCCAAGTAGCTTAGGAAGTTACTGCCCTCCAGCTGACAGGTGAGAACTTTGTGTGTGCTCCCAGTTGTTTTAATGCAAAGAAGGCAGGATTTGCTTAAATGACTCTTGAGATTCAATAACTTCTAGACCTCAGTGAACTACCTTAATTTCCTAAGGCTGCATTGCAAAGGAAAGGTAGAAATGAGCAGGATTGGCTACTGTAGTGTACTAACTTCTCCGATGACCTCAAAGAGACAAGTAGAAAGTACCAGTAGGTAGAAACTGTGAAAAATGAGAAATACTGAGTTACACTGCTGGTCCTTTTGATGTTGTTGCCATTGATGTTTCCAACTGTTAATATTTTGGCTTCAGCACAAATACATGACTTTAGGTAGGTGTATTTCTTTTCCTGAATGAAGTAAGTATCTAAATAGGTTTTCCATTTATAATTGCACTGAAGTTACGGGTATGCTGATACATTACTACAGGGTGTAAAGCTCGGGTGAGAACACACAGTACACAGATTGCTCCATAGTTGCCGTCCACGTGCAAGAGTGTGGCTCAAAACAGACGGAGGGGTAGCTCACTGAGTTTTCATGGGCACCACGCTGGCCCTACAGCAGTTAACTAGAGAAGCAGCACACCAGCTTGTAGGCAGCCAGGTGCCCAGTAGCACCCCCAGTTCCTAGTGAGATGACCTGGAAAGTCTTCAGAGCAGGAACTTGGGTAATCTTGAAATAATGTAAGTGTAAATGACCATCTAAGTACTTCATGCCTGGAGGAGCAATTTTAACAGAAATATGGAATGGAGTTCTTTGGTAACAATAAAGGAGACCAGAAGGAGTTTATTTTTTCCCTTTAACTTAATACTGAAAAACGAGTTACCTCTAGAGTCCTAGCAGTAAGCCCCATTCTTCCCTTTGAGTGGTAGGAAATGTGGGAATAGCTCCATTCAGCCAGGCCAGCATGTGGGGAACTTTGAAAGTCTTCTGAAAAAAGAATTCTTTTTCATACTCTAAGCAGGGAAGCAGAGTTTAAGAACAAACGAATGAACAAGCTGAAGCAGGTGAAAAAGCGTGGTGTAGAAGGCAGCAATGCCTTCCACCAGCAGTTAACCCGAAGTAGCAAAGATTCTTACAGAGGAGCTGTGCTTCTGGCCTGGGGTAGAGGACAAGGTCTCCTTCATAGGAGGAAATGTAGGAGAAGGAAGTGGATTTATGTTACCAAAAAAGAGGTAGGACAGAAAGGGAAAGTAGGGGGAAGCTGGGCCATGGGTTGACTGATTTGGTAGTCTGAGAGGCACTAATGTTCTGGGTAAAGGGAAATGGAGCAGTGTGGAAAGAGGCAGGTAGAACAAATCTGAGCCAGAAGACAAGAAAAGAGAAAAGTAACAGCATTTTTAAACCCACTTTTTTAGGTCTTTTCTATAAGAAATCCTTTTCTAAATGACTGTTATTTGATCGTACATGAAAGATGCTATATCTCAGAGCATGAAATGTCTCTCTGGAGTATTTGTAGTTAAGACCTTTCCAACACCTAATTTAGGTATGCTGGAAGTCAAATGGGGACAAACGATCTTCCTCTAAATAGATAAGGCTCTCCAGCCGATGACCTCCTCCTCTTAAGTTAGAGCCAAAACTTGATCGTGTAACGGCAAAAATGGAAGGAATGAAGGAGCACATCTCTGCTACTGGTGAGATAGGCAGCTCGCAGCCGCGCTGCTGCTACTGTCGCTGCTGCGTCTTGCCACAGACCCGGTGATGGTCCTTTGGCTCTCTCCCCTGGCCACCCGGTGAGCAGCACGCACGCTACCGAAGGACATTTATCGGAAGTTTGTCAAGTGCTGGGAGAATCTCAATCTGCGTGAGGATGCGCTGTAACTGAAATGCGAAGGGTACTTAGCCCGGCTTCAAACGGTGAAGACCCTTTTTGTTAACCTTTCCATGTACTCCTTTGTACTCCTCACTTTTTTTTTTTAATTTAGCTGCCAGCTAGAAGTACAGACAGGCTTTCTGTCACAGTCAGGTAGTGATTTCAGCGGATCTGCTTATTCTGCATTGCTTTGCGTGCCTCACAGTCAGGTAGTGATTTCAGCGGATCTGCTTAAGCACAGCTATTCTGCATTGCTTTGCGTGCCCGTGGTTCCTCTGAGTTGTTCTGAGACGCGGTTGTTCTTCAGAGCTGGTGTGTAATCTAGGTGACAAGCTGTGCTTCTTACAAGGGGCAGCCTCTCCCTGGGGGTTTCTACAGCAAAGTGCCAGAGGGGCAAGGTTCCCCTGTAACTGAAAGTCTCAGATCATTCTCTAGGTCTGTGCAAGCTTGCTCTTCAACATGCTGCCTTATGCCGACATAATTAATTACTATGTGGGCAAGAAACGTTTTTACTGTTGGTGTTGGAGGACATGACCTCAGGATGAAGGAGCTTTAGTCAGGTTTGTAACATCTGAAATGGGCAAAGGGACACTAAAACACTGAAGCAGTTAGTGTTTAGGTATACTCCTAGACTTTTGCAATCCCATTGAAAAACCTGTTATTTTGTCTGTGTGTGAAGCTGGTGGCACGCGTAGAAAAGGCCAGGCTTAACTCATCCTTGGCAAGTAGTAACTTTTCGTGGTGTGTGAGTGGCATGAAGCTCTAGTGTGAAGTGAGCATGCTTTACACAGAAGGCATCGAGACATACGTAGCCATGGTATCGCTGATTCTACAGCTATAAAGACAAACATTTTTGTCTTTCAAATAACTACTATTGTAAGTTATAGGACAGACAGGGTAATGCTGTGTAATCCACAGGAAAAAACCCTAACTCTGGGTTGCAACTCAGAATAAAGATCTGAGTATCAAAATGTCTGGGTTCTGGCAAGGAAAGTTGCAAGGGGGATCCCATCCCAGAGACCGCTGTTTTTGTTGCTTTTTCTTGGACGAAGTCCATCTTGCTTAGCAAAGGGCTCTGTGCCTTGACACAACTCGAGTGATGCGGGTAAAGCGTGCTGCAGGGAAGGCTGAACTCTTGGGATCCTCTGCTAATTGATTTCATCAACTTTAGGACTTTGGAGAATTACATCTGAGCTGATCAAGGATCAGTGAACCAGGGGCAGGCAAGAGTTGATGAGAAAGTGGAGGGGTGCCCAAAGCCTCAGTTCTTCCTTACCGTGCGGCGTGTAGCAGGGATCTCTCAGTTATGTGTGAAGGTTGTCACAGGCAGAACAAGCTAAATTCAATTTCTGCCTCACAGAGACAGTTCAAATAGCAAGTATTAAGCTTGTTAAGTGAAGGAGATCCAAGTGATGCTACTTCTGATCTAATTGTTCCCCAAGAGAGATAGTGTGTTAATAAGCTTGCAACAGCTTCTGCCTTTCAGCAAATTAAGTAAGTGGGTCACTTCTTCCGTCAGCCAGCTTGAGGGTGAGGGAAATCTGTCACTGCTGAAGCTAACGCAGCTTTTATTCAAGATTAGAGCAAGGGATCTGTTGAGACTTTTTTTTAGCCTTGGTGTGCTTATAAGGCAGATAGCGACAAGAGCAGCTTTGAAGACATTTTTTACTGTAAGAGTCATACTGCTACGTAGGGGAAAAAAAACCTTCCTGCTTCTTCCTATGAAAAATATTTACTGTACTGATATTTACAGCAGGCAATAGTATTTCAGTGCTGCAGGCCTGCCTCTTGCTGAAAAAAAAACAAAGCAAAAGCTACATTTCACTTAGGTTTTCCAAAAGAGTCTGTCTGCAAAATATATTTTATAGCAAGTACTGGAATAAAAGGGTGAAGCTGACTGAGAAATTACCAGTTAATTTCTGCATCTTGTCTACCGTTTATTAAAATACAGCAGAAAGGGTTCACCGTTGTGCTATAGCAGGGATGTGTGATTTTCTGAGCATGAGAAAATTAATTGCCTTGTGAGGGGGAGAGTCCCCAGCCTTTTCGCAGTTATTCCACCCTCCCCTCGCCTTCAAAATTGCCCTTTAAGGACATGAAGCAGTGAACATCTACAGTCACGTGTCCAGGGTGAAATAAGAATCCCAGCCACTACAGATGAGCTCTGCAGTGATGGCAGTATCATACAAATCATGCTGTTTCTCCACAGTTTGGTTTCTTTTGCGGGAGAGTTAGCGTTGAAAGCAAGGGTCTGAGTAAAATGGCCCAAGAATCGTCCACATGCCAAATACCATCACCCCGTGAGAGCGGTGGTGGGAGTTTTGTCGCTGCGATAGTTTAGCTCCTGCTGGTAAACAAAGCCTACCGTAACCAGTGCTGGTGGCTCTGTGCCCTGGCAGTGGTGAAACAGGACCACAGTGACCTCGGCTGTCCTTCGGAAAACGGAGCTGCTTATGCACAAGTAAAGTGGAAATTAAGGGCTTTTTGTTGTTGGTGGGGTTTTTGTTGGTTTTTTGTTTGGTTTGGGATTTTGGGTTTTTTGTGTTTTTTTTTAATACAGATCCAAGTACAGTATTATCCTTGCTCTCAAGTCACAGCTTTCTACCACACGTGTGGTTTCTTCTAGAAACTACCAAAAGGGTCTGAACAGAAACTCCAGCTTCTGGTGTGACTTTTCTGTGGTAGGTGAGCAAGGAGTTCACTTGTTAAAGGTACCATCTTACAGGTCTACGTTGTGGTGTTGCTTTTCAAAGTGTTTAGCTACAGATGACTCGAGACCTCCATTAATGGGCAACTGTATTCTTTCTCCTCTTTGC